TCTTCTTCTTCTTCTTCTTCTTCTTCTTCTTCTTCTTCTACCTCCATCCCCAGACCAACTTTCCTTTCCGCGTAGCTACGTCGACGAGGAAAGTTATCCGACCAGTAATTCGATTTGAAAGCGATTCCCCTCCACCCGAATCGCTACATCGCGCGGAATAGAGTCCAACTTTTCGCCGGACCGACCGATTGTTTCACAGAGGGCATCGTTTGGTAACGACGACGATCGTTAACGGGGGAGTCATGGGAGAGAAGGAGAGAGGGGAGAAAAAAAAAAAGTGCCGAATTATTTCTCCGAATGGCGGCTTTTCAGGTGCTTTTCAAACTTTAGATCGACTAATGACGTTCCCAACGCCGTTTTCAACCCGATGAATTTTTATCAGGCCACCGCGACTGCAGATAAATTTCAATGGCCCGTATCCCTGGGTGCGAGGGCATCGATGGCCGTCAATTCTCCTCCGAGGATTGTGGCAAAAAAAAAAAAAAAAAAAAAGAAATCTGCTACGAGCGCGGCTGATACCGCGTGATAATTACTTGGATTTTTCGCGCACGGGCCGCGAACCCGGATAACCAATCCGGGTCACTCGCGAATCATGGAAGAATTATCGATTTCATGTATCAATTTGTCTTTGTTCCAGCGTCCACTTCCAGTTTAATTTAAATCGCGTTGATTTTTAATTTAAATCCTCTTGATTTTTGTTTAATCCGAAAACTCTTCCACTCCTTGGAAATGTTTTATCCATTAGCGAGAGTCGGGGATAAGAATCGCGGGGGTGTATGCAAGAATCTCGAAACGTTTAAGCAATTGATTGGAGTTTACTTAAGACAGATTGATTTAAAGCTTTGGACGAAAGAAACGCGAGTTTCGCTCGTGAAATCGAATCTAAAATCTTGGCCTCGAAGATCTCGCGTATAAAAAAAAAAAAAAAAAAAAAAAAGAGGGAAGAAAAACTTGGTACTTTCCCGAGCTGTGTTTACCTCACGATTTCAATTTGTTATCTTTACACAATATTCTTTAAAGATATATAACCTGTTCCGAAATTAACGAAATTTTTATAGACAAATAATATCAAGAGAGATACAATCTATATTTTTATAAAATCACGAGTTTCTCAAGCGAGATGTATTTTAAATCTATTTCGCTCTCTATACAGTTAACGCAACAAAAATTCGGAAGCAAGATCATAATCGTCCGCTTGTTACACCCTTTTATATTTGCACTTGACTCGTTACGTCACTCGAGAGCATTGAATTACAGTCAACTCCAAGTTTCTCGAAACTTGCCGTTCCGAAACTTTCGCAAAACCATCAAAACGGATTCTCGGGCGTAGGTGGCCGAAGCGTTTCCTTCGAAAGAAACGCGAGGAGGTGGAAGGTCGCGAAAGTGCGTCTATTCTCTCTCGTCTCTTTTTCCCCTCTCTCTCTCTCTCTCTCTTCTCCGCTATTCTCCACCGTTCTCCAACGAGTTAAAGTTGCGCAGTTTCTTCGAGGCAGGAATATGCGAGTCCGAGGGAAGTAACGTACGAACGTGGACAGTTTTATCGCAGTTGGGTTTTTTCAACGGAATTCAATTATATCCTTAATGCAAGGTCTGTGTTTCGTTTCCCTCGACACCGAGGATGCTCTCGAATTTCTCGAAAAATAGAAACAATCCGCGGTACAATGTACCCTGGTTGTTTGCACGACCAGTGAACCACCACCGGAGAAGAAAAACAGATTTACAGTACAACCGGTTGGAAATTTTTACGAAACAACGTCGCGTAACGCATCCCCCCTATCCACTCGACATCGATTCGGTGGCCACTGAAGTTTTATCGGCCGTTGTAAAGCTGTAAAGCTTACAATTAACGTTTCGCCCGTGCCCTTATCAGATAATTTCGACGATCGTTCCAAACGGATCGACGAAACTATTCAAGAGGGTGAAACTGGAAGATAAAGACGAGACGAGGCCGTGCGGCAAACAGTACCGTGAAATTCGTCTTTCTCAGTAAAACTGTCGGAGCCTCTTCGTCTCCGGTCTCAACTTCGAAGAGATTAATTAAAAGCGGAAAGGAGAGAGGGGCGAGAAAAAACGGTTAGAAAGCGAGGGGACGAAGTGTGTAGGAAGGCTAATCAACGCGAGCGATCCGGGAATAAATCACGGAGGTCAGCCATTTAAACGGTATAATTCGCGCTTCGTGACGTCCACGGAATAATTAATTCCCTAATCGCGAAAGAGCGAGCCGCGAACTTCGGAGGAAGAGAATTTCTGGCGGGGCGCCGTTTAAAAAGCAATCTCGGCGAGGCCAGGCCGTACAGAAGCCGTGAAAATTATTATACGAGACCTACCTACCTACCTACCTACCTACCTACCTACCTACCGGCTACGAGGAATAGAAGGCAACACGGTCGAGGGGTGTATTCGCTCGAGCGGCGCCGGGGCGAGGTAAAAAGAAGAAAGAAGGAAGAAGAAAGGAAGATTGGGGAGGAGCGGTTAAGGCTCGCGCGGAGGAAGGAAAGAAGGGGTGGCACGCAACGAATATTCTAAAATACGAGAGCTATTAACCACAGCCCATTCCCTACGAGCATTACCTTCCCTCGCGCGTAAATAATGCGAGCCAAAGCTTCTCCCTCCCTCGCAGACACCCTCTGCCGTTATTTCATAGCCTTTTCGACCCTGTACGCGTATACGATTCGCAAGCACGCGGACGGGCGGCTCGCAGCAAGGCAGGCGGCGCAGTTTACGAGAGTTTAAGCGCGTATTCACCGAGAGACGAAGCATCGAGGAGAGGTCCCTCCAGGTCTCCCCCGTAGCCAAGTCGAATCGGGCGCCGGAGGTTCTTTGGAAAAGCAACTCGCACAGGGAAAGGTTCTCACGGAGAGAAATTAATTTCGCTGCCTAATCGCAAGGATAATTAGCCTTGAGAGTTGCGGAGTATAGGCAAATTGGCGCAACTCGGGGACGACGAGGTTTTACTAGGTCACTCGCTACTTGTTGTGTCGGACCCCCCTCCAACCGATCGAATATTCGAAACCTTGTACACCCGTTAATCGAGCGAGTCGACACGCCCAACCCGTGCGAATTCCAACACGGCCGGCTGCGTCCAGAAAATTAACAACGGTGTACAGGTTGTCGATAAATTGGATTAAACCGGGACTCGCGGGGGAAGCGAAGTTTGAAGAAGTGAAATGACTCGGGACGAATCACTGAGTGGATATTATTTGTCACGGCGAGAAGATATAAACCTTTCGAACGTAAACACGGTCTTTGGATTAAATTATTACCTCGAGGTGGAGATTATCGAATCCGATGTTTATCTCAATTTTTTGTTTCGCGTAATCTTCCAAGAACTATCTCAAACTACAATTCGTGCGAATTTTAAATATAATCTATCGATTAATCGATAGAAGGATTGTTTTTAACTGAAATGTACATATTTGGAAAATCTCGTCCAGAAATTTGAATAAAAAAATTCCACGGATATCCTTAACGTCGCATCTCGTGAAAATTTTCCCACTCGGACATATGAATCGAGCCAATTCGATTTTTCACGGGAAGGGAAGGCGGAAACCAAACATTCACGATTCCGCCGCGCCAACGAAATATCGTGGTTCCAAATGAAAACGCGGATAACCGCGAGTGCACCGATAAAAGAACAATGCGTAGAGAGAGCAATTTCCAAAGGCTGTTCCGGTAGAGCGACGAAATTTACGCGTACCGCCACTTTGCCGCGCTGAATCTCGTCTCTTTTAAGTCGAGGTTTAAACGTCGAGGTTTTGAAGCAGCGATAAATTCGAGTTCATCTAAGATCACTGTCGATGCATCCTCCATTTGGCTCCTCCTTTGTCTCCGAAAGCGCCGACAAGATTATGATAAACGCGTTGGAACATGCCTTGGAGAATTATGGGGCGAGATATCCTTGAAATTTAGCGAGCAATCGTACGCGGTCACGGGACGGCGCGTTACCACTGGAATGTCCAACAACGAGTCACACGCTAATTACTTTTACATTTAAATTAGCAGTTTTTGCCCGCGTTCCTGGCACATATTACCTTTTTACGACGGCTCACTTTTCCGTAATACGCCTCCATCCTCGCATTCTCGAGGAAAGTCACGTTTGTCGTTTGGGTAAAATACGAATGAGAGGGAATTATGAGGAACGTTGCCGAATTTGTGTATGCAATTTCTACTAATTTTTCTCTTTTTTTTTTTCTTTTTGAATAGATGAATTATAATATTCGATTTCGAATTCCTCTGTAACCTCCCAAGAGTTTCAAGAAAAATATATCGATTAAAGATCAATGAACTTACATATGATGAGCAGAATCGAGGGATGCTCCTCGCCACCTTCGTACGTGCCGCTTAGAAACAGAAACCATTGCCACGGATCCACTCTGATCCCGTACCTACAGCAGAACAAAAGAGAAAAGGCATGTAAACGCTCGTGGGAAAGCGAGAAGGAAACGCCCCGTTCGTTATTACCATCCACCCCCTCCCTCGCTCTTCCAATTTTATCTTCCAAGTCGCGTGAACCGGGTGTCTACATCGCGACACGGGTCGAGGGGCAAAGGCGTCCCGTTATTAACGTCTGTCTTCGACGCGATGCTCTTGGCGAGTCCTTGAAAAAAGAGAGAAGAAAAAAAGAAGGAACGAAGGGTGAAAGGGTCGAGTAAAAAGTCACGAAGGGGGTCCGTTCCAATTCCCCTTTGTTCTTTCCCCGTGCAAATAAACGTCGCTCCGCGTTCGCCTGTTTTAAAATTCTAAAACAGGACTGTACGGACGCAAGGTGACGGAACGAGTGTTCGAATTTACCATGGAGCGAATCTCTCCCTGCTCAAATTCGATTACGCGAAAACGCCACTCGAATTTCCTCGCGTAAATCATCTGTCAAGCTACCTCGCTGTCTATTAAACATATTTTCACATCCGAGGAGAAAAACGACTCGCCGGTGCACGCATCGAGGCCGACCAATCCCGACCAATTTTTATACACCTCTATATCGAGAACGAGATTTATCGCTCGCCATCGTATCAATCCGACCCATCACAAACGTTTGTTGCACACGACCGCTGCCGATCACGGAAGACAAACGAACTACATTCGGTGGCCGACTATCGAAGAAGAAAAAAAAAAGAGACAGAGAGAGAGAGAGGGAGAGGTCAAAGGGGATAGTAACCGACACTAATGGCTTCGGGTCGAACGCGTCGGCTAACGATGATGAACGAGGCTTATAGGAGAAGTAATTAAAGTATTTGAAGTGGGCGCGGTCTCGACATCCGCTGGGTACACGATATTTATTGGGACGCAATTCGTTTCTCTTTTTCTCTCCCACTGGTCCACCGCCAACCCTCTCCCATTCTCGTCCTCGCCGCAACGCTTTTTGTCGGCACAAACGCAATCAGTCACGTTGACGCAGGCCGCGATAATTGAAGAGCGAGAACGGAAAAATCAAACGTTTATAATTGATAGCTACGCTGCGCGTATATATATATAGTAACCAACCGCTCGTTCCGCGCGAAAGTGATTCGAAAGGGAGCATCAATCCCCTTATATTACCGGCCGCTAAATCACCGGCTCGGTTAGAATACCGGGGCCGTGTATCCTCGATGCAGTTTCACCGATTGAATTGTTAAACACTTTGGGGGGAAAAATCGATATACGCGCGCGTCTAATCCACGGATTGACCGCGGTTAATACGAGTTAATTCCTTTTTGCGATGTAAATGAAACACGCGAAGCCGCGAAGGCAACGCATCGCACCGGATACTGCGCTTTACCGATACTATACCGAGAAAGATTGGCAAAACATCGAAAACATTTACGGGGACGCGGATCGACGTGTTTTGCGAATCGTAGAATATTAATCGAACCATTTTCCTTTCTTTTTTTTTTTTTATTTTTGAAATTGTATAAAAAATTATGCGAAAAATGGATCTTTCGTCGAGAGAATTCGTAAGAATTTAACACGAGTTATGAAATATCTATTTTTATGGTATGGAAGCTAACAATGGGAGTAAAAAATGGAGGTTATCATTGGGGGCAGATTCGAATGAGAATACGTTGGATTAGAAGCGTATCGTTTTCATCGATTCAATTCTCTACTATCGAACTTCCTTCGTAGCATATTCTTTCTCATCTAGAATATCTGTTTCTCGTCGTAGAAGTACGTAATATAATTTGTAACAAAATATTATCCTTACTATTCGATTAGTAGTAAAAAAAAAACTATGTGCAAACATTGAGATAACGTGAAGATATTTGTATTATAATATATATAATGATACATAGATAAACATTTCTCGAAATAGATCCTGCAAGTCACGTTCGATAAGAAAGAACGTGAATCGATATCCGGCTGGAACGAGTTCGGATACACTTCCATCCTTCAAACACTCTCTCTTTATATATATATTCTATTTGAAAAAGTCTAGTCATCCTGGTTCACGTTCGCCTCCATTCCTTGGTGAACCGGATCATCTACACACAAAAGTTGCAATCAACTGGGCTACTGGTGCAGCCTCGCGGATATATATATATACACGTTCTCGGTGTAAAACTTTATTGGATTTATCAAAAGTAGGATGGCCGGTGGTTGTTTATTCCAGATAAGCCCGATAAAGCAAACCGAAACGGCGAGAACTCGGAGTTGGATATCGGAGTTGGATATCGAAATTCATCGATCCAAGGCGTGAAACGGGAACGATATTAAATTTCTTCTCCCGAAACGAGAATAGTCGTTCTGATCCGGCCGTGCCCGTTAAATCCGTTCTTTCCTCGTCCAAGTTCGTTAATACAGCGTCACGATAAAAATCCACGTCGATTCCACGTCGATCCACGAAAGGAGGACGAAGATGGATATGTGAAGACGATCGAGAAATGCAGCGGTGGCTCGAGCTGAGCGGAGCGTGGAAGATGACGAGAGAGAGACAGAGACAAGGACGATTGTTCGAAGTTGAAAGAGTTACGGAGGCGTTTTTTTAACGTAAAAAAAATCGTGAATGGATGGTCGTTAAATATTAATAAACGAGCGAAGAGTAGTAGGAGTTTATCTCGCAACGACACCCGGCGAGCACGTTCGCGTTGTTACCGTTTTATCCGTTGGTCTAAAGAAAATGGCCGGCTGCCGCGGCACGGCTCGGCGATTCGATGGTTTACGCGATCGAGCTGTAAATGAGCGAAGGCGCATCGATACGCATTAACCGGCCAGGTGTACCGGCTTCTCGTGTAAACCGTCAATCAGGGGCGAGCGCAATATTTTCTCTCCCATCGAAACAGTCGATTCCCGGTGTGCGCGCGATCGAACGAGCTGTTAAAAAAAAAGAAAAAAAAAAAAAAAAAATAGGAGAGAGAAAAAAGAGAGAGACTCCTCCTCACGGAGAGAGGGCACAACGAGGCGCAAGATCAGTGACCTGTATGGGCATCCGATACGCCGTCATTAATACGATTTAAAAGCTCGTTTAGGGGGTAGAATCCGGTGACCTGAATTCCGCGTGGCAGGGCACGATCATCTAATGGAATTTCAAGTTCATAGTGTAATTGGCACGATCCGATTACGAGTACAAAGGTTTACCCGTGCAATCTGTCAGTTTAAATCACTTTCCGCGGTATCGTTAATCGGATTAAAGTGCTGGGCGGGATGTGCATCCAGCTCGGCGTAAACAACCGACAGCAGTATCCTCAATTAGACTCAAATGCATATCCGCGAAGCGGCGACGAGTTGTATCGTAATCGACTTGTCAACGTGGATTAAGCGAAACGAGTATAGAAAATATAATACGACTCGATCGAAATCGTAGCGCCGTTTGCTCCTAATCGCGACCTAATAAAACTAGAAAGGGAAGATTCTTACAAATCAACTTTTCCTTCGACGTGTCACGTTCACAACATATATATATATATATATATATATATATATATATATATACATAAACCTGAATAAATCCTCTTAAAACAAAGCTAAAGTTACGAACACTTACACTTCGAGGCCAAACTCGAATAAAGTAAACTTATTTCCGCGGTAACAATTTGAGTTACTCTT